CCCTGACCTGTGTCCACCATGATGTGGAGACTCTGCAGGCCGCATCGGAGGAGCAGAGGAAGCTGCTGGAGACGTTGCAGAAAGAAGTTGTAAGTTTTATTTCTTCTCCTAAATCTCTCCGGAACCGAACCCCAAAATATTAATGAAACCCCCCCAAATCCCCAATATTCTCACATGCCAAGCCCTATACCGTGACCCGCGTCAGTGGGAGGGAGGCCGTGACCCGCGTCAGTGGGAGGGAGGCCGTGACCCGCGGGAGGGAGGCCGTGACCCGCGGGAGGGAGGCCGTGACCCGCGTCCGTGGGAGGGAGGCCGTGACAGACGGATCATACAAGGGGTCAGCGTTGGGAAGGATCGGTACTTGATTGATTCCTATAAGTTTAGTGGCGGGAACTCCTCTGCGTGTGATCGGTGGCAGTACAGAGGCGGCACATCCCCGATCGGCTCCCCATGTATGGGATCATTTTATAGTCTGCCGAGGACAATCCATTCCAGTAGTAAAGATGGCTGCCCTCGCGTCTGTCCTGACACAGGAGCCTCAATTCTGGGCAGGTACGGAGGTGCAGAGAAAGGGTTAAACATTCTTCAGCTGCAGCATATTAAAGTGACTTCTATGGAAGAGACTCGGATTAGTGTTGTCACCGGATTAGTGTTGTCACCGAATGGAACATTATTACAGCAGATTATTTTATCTTCCAGGCTGGTGTCACCTCAACACCGTCCCCTCCCCCAGCTCTGGGAGCACTCGGCGCTGCACAGGTATGGCCGCCCTCTAATCTTACCCCGGTGAATTGTGGGAGGGTTGTATGGCGTGTCGAAGTCATGAGAAGAGCTCGGCTCTGCTTTCCATGTCACCCATGTATCATATGACGTGATTTACAATCAGAGTGTCATCCTGGGAGTTGTATGTTCTTGTTGGGTCACGTCTCCCGTTGTATGTTCTTGTTGGGTCACGTCTCCCGTTGTATGTTCTTGTTGGGTCACGTCTCCCGTTGTATGTTCTTGTTGGGTCACGTCTCCCGTTGTATGTTCTTGTTGGGTCACGTCTCCCGTTGTATGTTCTTGTTGGGTCACGTCTCCCGTTGTATGTTGGGTCACGTCTCCCGTTGTATGTCCTGTGTATGTTCTTGTTGGGTCACGTCTCCCGTTGTATGTTGGGTCACGTGTCTCGTTGTATGTCCTGTGTATGTTCTTGTTGGGTCACGTCTCCCGTTGTATGTTGGGTCACGTGTCCCGTTGTATGTTCTGCAGGTGGAGAGCTCCCTGGAGGAGCTGAACGTCACCGTCATATATAACCAGCAAGTCAATGACATTCGTCTTCACAAAGGTACGGAGGTGCAGAGAAAGGGTTAAACATTCTTCAGCTGCAGCATATTAAAGTGACTTCTATGGAAGAGACTCGGATTAGTGTTGTCACCGGATTAGTGTTGTCACCGAATGGAACATTATTACAGCAGATTATTTTATCTTCCAGGCTGGTGTCACCTCAACACCGTCCCCTCCCCCAGCTCTGGGAGCACTCGGCGCTGCACAGGTATGGCCGCCCTCTAATCTTACCCCGGTGAATTGTGGGAGGGTTGTATGGCGTGTCGAAGTCATGAGAAGAGCTCGGCTCTGCTTTCCATGTCACCCATGTATCATATGACGTGATTTACAATCAGAGTGTCATCCTGGGAGTTGTATGTTCTTGTTGGGTCACGTCTCCCGTTGTATGTTCTTGTTGGGTCACGTCTCCCGTTGTATGTTGGGTCACGTCTCCCGTTGTATGTCCTGTGTATGTTCTTGTTGGGTCACGTCTCCCGTTGTATGTTGGGTCACGTGTCTCGTTGTATGTCCTGTGTATGTTCTTGTTGGGTCACGTCTCCCGTTGTATGTTGGGTCACGTGTCCCGTTGTATGTTCTGCAGGTGGAGAGCTCCCTGGAGGAGCTGAACGTCACCGTCATATATAACCAGCAAGTCAATGACATTCGTCTTCACAATATCGGAGTCGCCGTCTCCAACATAAGCCAAAGAGTCTCCGTGCTGGAGTCCAGAGAGAACGCCTCGGGACCCGTGCGTACTGCGTGTGTGCGGACATGTAGCCTCTTACGTGTGTGTGCGGACATGTAGCCTCTTACGTGTGTGTGTGTGGACATGTAGCCTCTTACGTGTGTGTGTGGACATGTAGCCTCTTACGTGTGTGTGTGGACATGTAGCCTCTTACGTGTGTGTGTGCGGACATGTAGCCTCTAACGTGTGTGTGTGCGGACATGTAGCCTCTTACGTGTGTGTGCGGACATGTAGCCTCTAACGTGTGTGTGCGGACATGTAGCCTCTTACGTGTGTGTGCGGACATGTAGCCTCTTACGTGTGTGTGTGCGGACATGTAGCCTCTTACGTGTGTGTGTGCGGACATGTAGCCTCTTACGTGTGTGTGTGTGGACATGTAGCCTCTTACGTGTGTGTGTGCGGACATGTAGCCTCTTACGTGTGTGTGTGCGGACATGTAGCCTCTTACGTGTGTGTGTGCGGACATGTAGCCTCTTACGTGTGTGTGTGTGGACATGTAGCCTCTTACGTGTGTGTGTGGACATGTAGCCTCTTACGTGTGTGTGTGGACATGTAGCCTCTTACGTGTGTGTGTGGGCATGTAGCCTCTTACGTGTGTGTGTGCGGACATGTAGCCTCTTACGTGTGTGTGTGCGGACATGTAGCCTCTTACGTGTGTGTGTGCGGACATGTAGCCTCTTACGTGTGTGTGTGCGGACATGTAGCCTCTTACGTGTGTGTGTGCGGACATGTAGCCTCTTACGTGTGTGTGTGCGGACATGTAGCCTCTTACGTGTGTGTGTGCGGACATGTAGCCTCTTACGTGTGTGTGTGCGGACATGTAGCCTCTTACGTGTGTGTGTGCGGACATGTAGCCTCTTACGTGTGTGTGTGCGGACATGTAGCCTCTTACGTGTGTGTGTGCGGACATGTAGCCTCTTACGTGTGTGTGTGCGGACATGTAGCCTCTTACGTGTGTGTGTGCGGACATGTAGCCTCTTACGTGTGTGTGTGCGGACATGTAGCCTCTTACGTGTGTGTGTGCGGACATGTAGCCTCTTACGTGTGTGTGTGCGGACATGTAGCCTCTTACGTGTGTGTGTGCGGACATGTAGCCTCTTACGTGTGTGTGTGCGGACATGTAGCCTCTTACGTGTGTGTGTGCGGACATGTAGCCTCTTACGTGTGTGTGTGCGGACATGTAGCCTCTTACGTGTGTGTGTGCGGACATGTAGCCTCTTACGTGTGTGTGTGCGGACATGTAGCCTCTTACGTGTGTGTGTGCGGACATGTAGCCTCTTACGTGTGTGTGTGCGGACATGTAGCCTCTTACGTGTGTGTGTGCGGACATGTAGCCTCTTACGTGTGTGTGTGCGGACATGTAGCCTCTTACGTGTGTGTGTGCGGACATGTAGCCTCTTACGTGTGTGTGTGCGGACATGTAGCCTCTTACGTGTGTGTGTGCGGACATGTAGCCTCTTACGTGTGTGTGTGCGGACATGTAGCCTCTTACGTGTGTGTGTGCGGACATGTAGCCTCTTACGTGTGTGTGTGCGGACATGTAGCCTCTTACGTGTGTGTGTGCGGACATGTAGCCTCTTACGTGTGTGTGTGCGGACATGTAGCCTCTTACGTGTGTGTGTGCGGACATGTAGCCTCTTACGTGTGTGTGTGCGGACATGTAGCCTCTTACGTGTGTGTGTGCGGACATGTAGCCTCTTACGTGTGTGTGTGCGGACATGTAGCCTCTTACGTGTGTGTGTGCGGACATGTAGCCTCTTACGTGTGTGTGTGCGGACATGTAGCCTCTTACGTGTGTGTGTGCGGACATGTAGCCTCTTACGTGTGTGTGTGCGGACATGTAGCCTCTTACGTGTGTGTGTGCGGACATGTAGCCTCTTACGTGTGTGTGTGCGGACATGTAGCCTCTTACGTGTGTGTGTGCGGACATGTAGCCTCTTACGTGTGTGTGTGCGGACATGTAGCCTCTTACGTGTGTGTGTGCGGACATGTAGCCTCTTACGTGTGTGTGTGCGGACATGTAGCCTCTTACGTGTGTGTGTGCGGACATGTAGCCTCTTACGTGTGTGTGTGCGGACATGTAGCCTCTTACGTGTGTGTGTGCGGACATGTAGCCTCTTACGTGTGTGTGTGCGGACATGTAGCCTCTTACGTGTGTGTGTGCGGACATGTAGCCTCTTACGTGTGTGTGTGCGGACATGTAGCCTCTTACGTGTGTGTGTGCGGACATGTAGCCTCTTACGTGTGTGTGTGCGGACATGTAGCCTCTTACGTGTGTGTGTGCGGACATGTAGCCTCTTACGTGTGTGTGTGCGGACATGTAGCCTCTTACGTGTGTGTGGACATGTAGCCTCTTACGTGTGTGTGGACATGTAGCCTCTTACGTGTGTGTGTGTGCGGACATGTAGCCTCTTACGTGTGTGTGTGTGTGGACATGTAGCCTCTTACGTGTGTGTGTGTGCGGACATGTGCACGCTTCCTCTTGGCTGCTCTGGTGACACGGGAGGAGGATTACATGGATGGTGACACGGGAGGAGGATTACATGGATGGTGACACGGGAGGGGGATTACATGGATGGTGACACGGGAGGAGGATTACATGGATGGGGACACGGGAGGGGGATTACATGGATGGGGACACGGGAGGGGGATTACATGGATGGTGACACGGGAGGGGGATTACATGGATGGTGACACGGGAGGGGGATTACATGGATGGTGACACGGGAGGAGGATTACATGGATGGTGACACGGGAGGAGGTTCTGTACTTATCGGGTGTTTCTTCACAGATGGAATATTCCGCCGATGTGAATGGTAATCAGCTGCCTAATGCAACGAAAGCTGATTCATCCCAGGTCAGTACTGCCCCGCCCCCGGGGGTAAGTTCTCTCTAGGTCAGTACTGCCCCGCCCCCGGGGGTAAGTTCTCTCTAGGTCAGTACTGCCCCGCCCCCGGGGGTAAGTTCTCTCTAGGTCAGTACTGCCCCGCCCCCGGGGGTAAGTTCTCTCTAGGTCAGTACTGCCCCGCCCCCGGGGGTAAGTTCTCTC